GGGTTTTGTTTAGCTTCTTATTTGCAACATAGTACATAGTTGCTTAGAGTTGCAACTCAGAGGCCGGCAAGTCAGGCGGGGAACGTTGGAGTCTGCAGTCACTGAAGCAAGGAAGCCTCATGTTCGCTTCCAGCTGCCTGGCTGCCGGCCGCCATCTTGGCTGACAGTTAATTTGCATAAGGATATGCTGATTAGCCAATGGGAAGGGTAGCGGTCGTACGCCAATTACCATGTTTCTCTTTTATTAGTGTAGATATGTATCCACCATTATAGTATTATACAGACTAGTTCCACTGCCTTAAAACTCTTCTATGCCTTGCCTATTCATTCCTTCCTGCTGCCCGCCCCCAACCCCTGGCAACCACTGATCTTTTTACTGTCTCCATGGTTTTGCCTTTTCTATTTTTTCTATTATTAAATATAATATCTTTGCCAGAGATCTAAATGAATGTTTCATATTTTTGTTTAGGCAAGCAATACTTCAAAAAATGTATCAAAAGCAAAACAATTGATTGAAAAAGCAAAAGCTTTACACATTAGTAGGTCAAAAGCTGCTGAAGAAATAGTGACACCCTTAAGGCGTTCGTCTAGACGTCAGATTCTTCCTGAAGGGAAGAAAATGTCAGACACAGAAGTAAGTATTACAAATGTTTATTGGTATAAATTATGTCCTAACCCTGACCACAGTGGCTCAGTTGGTTGAAATGCCATCCCAGATACCGAAAGTTCACAGGTTTGATCCCCCGTCGGGGTGCATACGGGAGGCATCCTATCCATATTTCTCTCTTATTGATGTTTCTCTCCCTTCCCTCCCCCTTTCTCTCTCTCTAAAAAAAATTCTGTCCTATTTTGTTGTTTGGAGTGAGGCAGGGAACGTTGGAGTCCTCAGCAAGCAAGCCTCATGCTCGCTTCAGTGCCTGGCTGCCGGCCGCCATCTTGGCTGACAGTTAATTTGCATATACTCACTGATTAGCCAATGAAAAGGGTAGCGGTCGTAGGCTAATTATCATGTTTCTCTTTTATTAGTGTAGATAATATCTTTGCCAGAGATCTAAATGAATGTTTCATATTTTTGTTTAGGCAAGCAATACTTCAAAAAATGTATCAAAAGCAAAACAATTGATTGAAAAAGCAAAAGCTTTACACATTAGTAGGTCAAAAGCTGCTGAAGAAATAGTGACACCCTTAAGGCGTTCGTCTAGACGTCAGATTCTTCCTGAAGGGAAGAAAATGTCAGACACAGAAGTAAGTATTACAAATGTTTATTGGTATAAATTATGTCCTAACCCTGACCACAGTGGCTCAGTTGGTTGAAATGCCATCCCAGATACCGAAAGTTCACAGGTTTGATCCCCCGTCGGGGTGCATACGGGAGGCATCCTATCCATATTTCTCTCTTATTGATGTTTCTCTCCCTTCCCTCCCCCTTTCTCTCTCTCTAAAAAAAATTCTGTCCTATTTTGTTGTTTGGAGTGGGAGAAGGAAATCATTATGAAGTTAAAAGGTAAAATTATAAGGTAGCCTTGAGGTGGTAGGAAGAATGTAATTTTTATTTCTGCTTTAAAAGTCTTTGGCTTTCTTTTGCCTACAGAATGTTTGAATCCTTATTGAGTCATTCAAGATTCTTTCATAGACTGCAGTAGGGCTTCCCTTTCTTCAAAACACCAACCTTCCTCATATACAATAAATTATTAATTTCTCCCCAAATGGTGCAGTTTTTAAATTTTTTTCAGTTTGTAGTCTAATGATGAGGAAATGTATGGAGTTGCTAATGTAATTACCTTTTCTATGGCTTCTAGCACTGTAATCCTTTTGAAATTTTAATGACATTTTATTTTAAAAGTCTTTATTGTTGAGAGTATTACAGATGTCCCAGTTTTTTACCCCATTGCTCCCCTTCACCCGATTCTCACCCCACCCTAGGCCTTCACCACCCTATTGTCTATGTCCATAGATATGTGTTTATGCATATAAGTTCTTTGATTAATTTCTTCCCGCCCTGCCCCCCGCCCTTCCTCTGAGATTCACCAGTCTGTTCCATGTTTCTTTTCTATGCCTCTGATTCTTTTTTTATTCATATTTTTTATCTTTTCTCCTCCTCCTCCTCCTCCTCTTCCTCCTCTTCCTCATTTTAAAGAATACCCTTCAACATTTCATGTAATACTGGTGGTTTGGTGGTAATGAACTCTACTTTAGCTTTTTCTTGTGTATGATATATTTTATAGAGTTTTTTCTTATTTTGTCTTAGGACTCTGTAATAATAATAAATTCAAGTCCTACTTCTTTAAAGCATCCTGAGACAAATCAGAAGAAACTTCAGTGTCTAAATGATGTGCTAGGAAAAAAACCTACCAAGACTTCTAAAAATGAACCTGGTAATCAGATTTGATAACATTTATGATGAACATTAGAATGTTTGGGGGGGATTATATTGTTCTGAATGCTCCCATTTTAATTTTAATCTCTTATTTTATAAATGGTAAACTTTAATTGGATTAAATATTATTTCTATTTTTATAAGTAAAGTTATAATGTAGTGAGGAGTTTTGCAAAGGGTAACTGACCATATCTTAAGTTATCACATTTCTGTGTATTTATTTATCCTTAGTTAAGTTAGTGGTTCCCAAACCTGACTATTCATCAGAATAATCTGGGTAAATTTAAAAAAAAAATTAAATCTTTATTTCCTTTCCTAGACATATTAACTAAGAATTTCCAGAGCTGGGTTGTAGGAATCTATAGTTTAAAAAAATTTTGTTCTCCAAGAGATTCTGATAATGATATTGCCCAGTTGAGGAACTAGATCATTATATAGAATTTTTCTTAATTGGAAGAAACTTTTAAGGAATTCATTTTTTTAAAGTTTAAAAAGATAGAGATATAATTTGGAAAGTAGTTGGAAGGAAGTGGAGATGATTAACATTAATACTAACCTAAGTATTTATTTTTCTCAGGAAAAATGAAAATCGCTCCTTTATTTCTTACCAGAAAGGTTCATAAAACAGCTGATCCTATCCTTGGTTTTGATGAAAGCAGGTCAGTCCAGGACAAATTTTTAAATGCCAAAATGTTTTATGGAATGTGTTTTGTTTTCACTTACTTTGATGAGAAAGCATGTAAATTATCATTTGAAGCTTTAATAAATACATTTTAAAAGATGAACTTAAAATATGACAGTGCTACAACTGAATTTGAAGATCTTGTTTTTTTGCAAACATTTTGGGGCCATCTCTAGACAAAATAGTGAAAAATAAATAGGCAAACCAAAAAACCAAAAAGCTGATTATGAACTTATTCAATAAACCAGGCACTGCTTTTTGGTACGAGAAATATTATGGGAAACAAAACAAGAGACATTCCCTGTCCTTATGAGGCTTATATTCTAGAAGAAAGACAAGCTATAATTTAACATTAATTGGGCCAACAAATGAAATGCATTTGTACTAAGAAGGAGAGATACAAAGTTCTATTAAGTTTATATTAAGTAAATTCGGTCTTGTTAAGAAAGGCTTTACTGAGGAAATGACACCTGAACGGAAGAATAAGCAGGAGTTCATCAGGGGAAGGAACAGCGTTCTAGCCAGAGGGAACAGTCCCTATACCTGGATGGAGTGTGGTCAATACAGGAGATTGGAAGAATGCCAGTGCGACTTGCGCATAGAGAGCAGGGGAAAGAGGAATGTGAGATTAAGCTGGAGAAGTGGGTGCCAGTCCAACCAAAGGATTTTAAACATGAGTATGGACATTTGGATTTTGAAAGTTTTATCTGACTGCTGGAATTAATTCTGCTGTTGTATAAAGAGTGGAATAGAGGAGAGCTTATAGTGGATGCAGGAGGCCAGGTGTGAAATGATGGAAGTGTGGACTCAGGTGTTGGAAAAGATTTAGGAGATAAATTTAAAAACCCTTAGTGATTAATGAGAGTTGGGGTGGGGAGAAGAAGGTGTAAGGATAACACTTAAGTTCTGGTCTATGTAAGTGGATGGCACAATGGAAGAAGACCAAATTTAGGGACATCATGTATTCAGGTGATTTGTTTTTCCTATTTCAATTTTAATGATTTACAAATTACATATTGTTAAATGCATAAATATTAAGCATACAGCTTTGATAAGTACATTATATTGGGATATAACATTTTTATTTTACTCCAGAAAAGTTACTTACTTTTCCTGTTATCCCCACCACTGCTACAACAGAAAGGTTACCACTATTATGATTTCTATTACCATAGATTAGTATTGTGTTTTAAAATTTTACATAAACTTTAATTATATATATTCAATTATGTACATTCTTTTGTGCGTAGTTGCTTTTGCTCAGTATATACACACACATATTATTATTTAAATTTTTTTTAAATAATGTTTTTATTGATTTTTAGAGAGAGAAGAAGGGAGAAGGATAGAGAGATAGAAACATCAATGAAAAACATCATTGATTGGCTGTCTTCTGCCATGCCCCCTACTGGGGATTGAGCCTGAAACCCAGGCATGTGCCCTGACTAGGAATCGAGCCGGTGATCTCTTAGTTCTTGGATTGATGCTGAGCCACATCAGCCAGGCTTATTTTTTTTTAATCCTCAACCAAGGAGTGAGAATATTTTTTCCATTGTTTTTTTACAGAGAGTGGAAGTGGAGGGGGGAGAGGGAGAGAGAGGAGAGAGAAAGAGAGAAAGGTACATTGATTGGTTGCCTCCCATATACACCCTGACTGGGGATCAAACCTGCAATGTAGGCAAGTGCCCCCCTGACCGGGCATTGAACCTGTAACCTTTTGGTGTACAGGATGATGCTCCAACTGAGCCCCCAGCTAGGGCCAAGAGTGTAGTACTAGAAGGCCCCTCTCCAGTAACCGCTGAGAGAGAATGTGGGAGGACAAAGATATAAAGAAATTTTCCTTGTAAGAATGCGAGAGGCATCCCTGGATGGACTCCAACCAACTTTTTGGTTAACAGCTGAATGCACTAACCGATTATGCTAGAGACTTGCTGTTTTCTGATTATTATATGTATAAATGCATTTTTTAAAAAGGAAAACAGAAAACAATGGAGGGGAAACTTACCACCCCTAAATAGCCCCTGTTAACATTTTAGTAGGTGTCCTTCATATTTTTTCTTTTTTTTTTTTAGTGCATTTAAAAAAAATATGTTTTATTGATTTTTTACAGAGAGGAGGGGAAAGGGATAGAGAGTTAGAAACATCGATGAGAGGGAAATATCGACTAGCTGCCTCCTGCACAACCCCCACTGGGGATGTGCCTGGCCTGCAACCATACATGCCCTTGACTGGAATTGAACCCAGGACCCTTGAGTCCGCAGGCTGATGTTCTATCCACTGAGCCAAACCGGTCATCAG